ATGATAAAATTAAGAATATATAGTAACCCTAGGGGTGAATTTCATACACACTGAAATCTGCTAAACCTGCTATAAACAGATTTTGTCATATGAATTGGTATTATCTATAGGTAGTGGATGTAATATTTGGTCCTAGAAACTTTCTGGTTTTCGTTTTCAGCATGCATAGCCCATAGTCGGACATAACATAGTCAATGGGTTGTTACTAAGTAACATACAAAAAAAACCTATATACCTACTCATCTCTCAAAGCTTCACCCCTTATGTTGTATAGTGTAAGTTCAGTCTTAATAAAGTTAAAATGAGTAGGTTTTTATATTAAAAATTACATTACAGTTTTAATAAAATAGCCTTTAAGTTATAGAGACAGAAACTGGTTTTGTAGCATGCTGTAGCATAAACATATTTATTTCTGCTGTAGAGCTAGACATGTTAACACAGCAGTCTATGGCGAGTGACTTGCTTTTGAAGCCTTTTTGGTAGCAATTCAAGAAACTTTTTAGTGCTTCTGTAAATCAAGACAATTATTTACAGTGGCTAGCAATTGTAGTAACAGTAGCTAGTTAACAGTTTTACAGTAACATTTCATATTACACTTAAAGTCAGTGCAAACAGTGTTGAGGAGATACTCGTTATACCACTACCAAGCAATACTTTAATTTTTTTTTCCTATATCATGTTTTCACCTGGCACAGTACTTTTGAATCTGTCCGTTCAACCAATTCTCCATTAATCAGTATATATGGATAAAATGTTTAGTCTGCCTCTGTATCAATCTGAGCTGCTGCTGTTGAGCAGAACAAACAAATGGAAGAAACAAGGTTGTTCGAGAGATTGATGTTGCAGTGGTTCATAATTAATTTTTTACATGAAATAATCACCATCCATGTAGCATATTATTTGTTTGAAGTTACCTGTTCTAATATACTGTGTGTGCTGCTGGCCAGCCAAGGTCAGCCAGGATTCCTCTTTGGAACTTAAAGCGAGAGTGTCACAGTGTGACAAAAGCCATTAAGATTTAGGGAGATATGGGAGCGAAAACGCTGAGAAACACACTTTTGAAAAAAGCTTTGAGCCAAATTGACTGCAGCACACGGAGGAGGGGAAAAAAGGCCAGGGAGCTTTGGAAAGCAACAGTAAAATGAGCTCAAAGATGATGAAGCAAAGGATTACATGACTTAGTGCAGCTTTCATCAGTGAGCCTCATCATACCTACAGTCCTTTGAAGATGTAGTAGGTCTAGTTGTAGTTGAAGTGATTAAAATTAGCAATGGGAAAAAGCAGTGAGCTATAATAATGTGCAAAAGTCTTGAGCCACTACTTGTTTTTATATTTTTCTGCCAAGAAGCCAAACTTTATTTCTTTTCCATCAGTAGTTCCTCAGGCTTACTGAAGTTTGTTTAAAGTCTTTCTTTGAACACTGGCTTTTTTTCTTTTGCTGATTTTAAGTCCAGTCTTTGTACTACCAAACTGACCACCTTCAGATCCCCCCTGCCACCTGCTCCTGGATTAAAGATTTCTTCACTAACCAGCCTCAATCTGTCCGACTTGCTGATTGAGGTTGGTGCTTGGACAACAACATGAAGCTGAACTTCATTAAAACAAAAGAGCTCATAATGGCTCAGAAGGCACATACAGGTCACTCCCCTGCCATTGTAAAAGGATAACGGGTAGAATCTGCCTCCACCTTCAGGTTTCTGGGCACCCACGTCTCCGCTGATCACACCTGGACCAACAACACCAACGCCCTGGTAAAGAGGGCCCAGCAGTTACTGCACTTCCTCCATATCCCAAGGAAGAATAACCTGGAGAAGAAGCTGCTGCTGGCCTTCTCACACACCTCAATGGAGAGCGTGCTCTCCTACTGCCTGAGTTTTTGGTACTTAGGGGCCACTACTAAGAACAGGAAGGCTAAACAGAGGTTAATTAACACCACCCAAAAAGTCATTGGCTGTCCTCTGCCACCCCTGGAGGCCATCACCAGATCCCCCCGTCTCAGGACAACCAGGGCCATCACAGGTGACCCCTTGCACCCTGCCCACCACCCGTTTGACCTGCAACCCTCACGTCAATCAGGTCCGACACCTCTAGACTCACAAACAGGTTCCTACCCTGGGACATTCAGACTGTTAGCAAACAACATCCCCCCACACCCCCGAGTCATGGCGTGAGTAACCCTTCATCACTCAGGCCACTCAAAAACGAACTCTATACTCAGACTCAAGTCTTTTCTTTGCACTACTTCCAAGCACTTTGCTACTATTTTGTTCTCTAGGTTGTGGCTTTTTCTTATTTTTGTATATATGTCTCTTGATTGTATACATTTCCTGTTTGCTATTTAATCCTGCTGTCTTACTATCTATATGTCATTGTACATGTTCAATGACAATAAAGGGCTATTCTATTCTATTCTACTTCACTCTCTGGAGTGTGTCCTTAAAAATTTAAGGAAATGGAGGACAAAAAAGTGGCAGGTCTAAATCCAGCAAAGGCTTGACACAGAGTTTGAGATATTCATCTGGCTCTTCAGGTAATCCATCTACTGTTCACTGAAGCATCATCAGAAATAGTCTCAGCTGATAGGTGGCCATCAAGAAGTCTTCTTAAGGAAGGGGAAAAGAGAGATAATGTAAAATCATACCTGGATAGAAAAACACACAGTGGAGCACTATCAGTCATGGATCGGCCTCCCCAGATCCTGGACCTCAACATTATTGAAGCAGTGTGGGATCATGTTGACAGAGAACAGAACAAAAGGCAGAAACATCCAAAGAAGAGCTTTGAATGTCCTTCAAGAAACCTGGAGAACTATTCCTGAAGACGACTTAAATATTGACTTTTAAGCTCAGTCAAAGCTCATTAGACATTTTCTTGTATATTTGCACATTTTTCGTAAATTGATCCCCATTTTCCTTGCAAAATGTTACAAAATGAAGGTTTTCTCTAGTCTGTTCCACAGCACGGCATTTCAAACAGTACTTGTGGTAGAAGGTTATGTTGTAGGTAGCAGTAGGAGCTATTGTGGTATTGTATAGTGGTCCTAAGTAAGACTTCACTTGTTCTTTGGTTTAGAGATGGACCACAATCTGTGAGTGGTAATGAGTAAATTTCAGGAGCACTGTGGACCCGTGTTCCTGTGCATTTTAAATAAGCTGCTCTGAGCTACTCTTTCTACCAGAACCTCCCCTCCTCCAAACAGCTCCTCGTCGTTGGTGCTCTGCAAACTAAATTAATTACTGTGTGCTACTACAGAATTACAGACTTACCTTTAGACGTCAACACAAACTGGTGCAAGTAGAAACAATTAGCACGTTTATCTACTTAAAGAAAGACACAGAAAGCAGAAAAACTTAAAACCGATCACTCCTCTGTAGGAGAAGTGATCAGTGATCTATTTACAGTGAGCAAGTTGCACAACATGATGTGACAGCAATGTTGCCTATGTTGAATAAGATAATCAGTTAACTGTTCAACTGTTAATCTGTTAAAAAAAAAAAACTATGTTTGCAGGTATAAACCAGGTCACCTTAAGAAAGCTTGATTTCTCCTCTAGCCAGAAATGAATATTCCAAAGCCCTCGCAATGATTTATATTCGTGGGAATGTTTGAGGAATGTCTTAATTCATTGACTCATTCATGCATCCTTTCAAGGTGATATCTGGAAGGAGGTGTATATAAAATACTGTTTTCAATAAAGCAAACTCAGATTTACAGCCCAGCCGAGCCCAACCCAAACCAGGCCAGCTGCACAAATACACAAAGGAAATGGCATCATTATTATGACTCACAGAGGAGGCTGTTAGGAAAAGTGGGCTCTGGACAACAGGGAAAGAGGGAGATCTAGCAGGGTGTTTGCTTTAAGTGCAATTCTGAGTGATGATGTCACATGATGAAATGACAAAAGAAGAGATCTGGGATTTGCCTGTTGTCTTTTTGGCCCTACGAACTGGGGTAACTGCATCAAAGCAACCCACAGACCTTTGTATGATAAAATAAAACCAGATCAAACCACATAAGCAAGTCAGAAAGAAAATAAAGGCCTAAAACACTCAGAAACCTAAACCAACTCGTCTATTCTGAGCACATTTTGAAGCGTTCATTGGCTGGTTTCCTTCAAAGGAAAAACTCGTGCGTTGAGTGCATTTTCCAAGCTGCAGGACAGACTAATCAGATCAATTCTGAGTAATGTGCAGCTGTTTGGAGAGAAACCCACATTTTAACACAGCGTTCGAGATGTCATTGCATGTCAGGAATAAATTACACAAGTCATGGAATTAATTTTGCAAGGGTCTTTTGGGATCCTCCAAGTTGTTATCCTGGTCATGAGCAACATGCTCGCAGCAGCTGCAACCCCATCTTCTTCTTCATCATCATCATCAGCATGCATAAAACAATATTTTTGATTTTTCTTCTTCACTGCTTTGCACAGTTTCTCGATCTGTTGTGTCCTCAGGCTGCTCTGAAATGAAGCCCCGGACACACACTTGCAAACAATACTGCACACACACACACACACGAACACACACAGGCAAGCATCATTCCTAGAGTTTTTTAGGTTGCTGGCTGCTGTAAGGCCTTTTTTCCACTCCATCGTTAATTAGTCATTTAATTAGAGAACTTCAAAGTGAAAACATCCTATGCTGTTGGGTGGGCTGTGTCTCTGTGTGTGCGCGTGTGTGTCAGTGTGAGTGCACTTATTTGCGCGCAACAGTCTTTTGGGCCTTATAAGGTAGAAAAATGACTTGTTTGAGTTGCATCACTGTTTCGGACATTAACCCTTCAGTATAACAAAGACACAAGGAAACAGCTCAGCTGAAACCAAAAATCATCAAAAGTTGAGGTCAAACTCTCACGTGCAGCCAGATGTATCGAATGTGTTTTGATTGGCTTTAGATCTGCTTCCATCGATTTGTAGCGATGCACTCCTGATCTCGTTTCCTCTTCTTCCCACAGCCCGACGAGCTGGAGGGCGTCCACACGCACACCTTTAAGCTGAAGCCATTCAAGAAGGCCAAGAGTTGTGATATATGCAAGCAGGCCATCACCAAGGAGGGCCTCATCTGCAAAGGTGGGTGTCTAGCATGTTGGCTTTAAAGTTGACCTGAGCAGACGTAAGACAGTAGACTGAGTAAATTATGACCAGGCAGGGGTCGGGTTCCCAGAATGGCTGAAAGTGAGATTCATTTATAAATATAAAAATATAACAACTGCTGCTCCTGCAACCTGGAAGTGGCATAAAATAAATGTATATCAGAGTTTTGACCCAATTTTACTTTAAGAAACATTATTATAAACATTGTCAGTCTGTGAAAAAAAGTGTGGGCAAATAGTTTAACAAACCCCTAGACATCTTTATTACAGTAGTTAGCACCATCGCCTGACTAAAAGAAGGTCCTGGGCATGGTCTTGTGCTGCTGAGTTCAATGTGTTGTGCATTCAGAGATACTCTCCTGCATACCTTGGTTGTAACAGTGTTATTTGAGTTACTGTTGCCTCCCTGTTACCTCGAAGCATTTTGTCCATTTTCCTCAGACCTCTAGCATCAAGAAAGCATTTTCTCTCTAAGAACTGCCGCACAGTTCAGTTCAGTGCAGTTCAACTAAAGCTTGATTCTAGCATAATTTAAGCCATTTAGGTTTACATTAAAGAAAGGTTTAAAACAAAGTTTTATTTGTATTTGAATGTGTTTTCTCCCCAAGTCTATTTTTAATATACACATCCTTTTTGTTTACACTGTACGCTCTATTTATGTATGCATTGGTCTACTGTTTTAGCTTTGCTTTCTCTCCCTCTTGCCTTTGAGCCCCTGCCTCCCCCTCTTCCTCAATGATCCAGTCACATGTTTTTGAGTCTAATTTTAGAAGTACTAAAGGTTTTATTGTCACTCCAAGAAAAGTCCAGGGGAAATTAACATTAGAAGACTCCCAGGCAGCCTCACATTTCCTCTGTTTCTTTTTCTCTGATCTCCCTCTATCTGTCTTTGCACTCTTTCCCTTGCTCTCCCCATTTTTGAACTACAGTACAAACAGAGTGTCTTTAGCAGAGGCCAGATGACAAACGGGGAGAAAAGCCCAGCAGTAGGGGAATGGGCTTGTATAGGGCTTTGGCTGAGGATTTGGTGTTAAAATTAGCATGGCTGCTGCTGCTGCTGCTGCATTAGCCTAGATAAGAGGGGGAAAGAGGGGGAAAGGGATGAGTGGTAGGGGAGGGGGGCAGAGCTAGGGTGAAGAGTGAGAAATTTGGGTAGCAACGACGCTGGGTGATAGATATGGGTACAGAAAAGAAAAGATGGCATACACTTTTATTTATTGTACTTTCTGTCCTGTTAAACTAGAGCTATAGTGTACTATATGTTCACAAGCACCTGGACAATGATAATTATCTAAAAATCCTTGTTGTCCTTTACAGTTACCAGGAAGGGTTGCTATGCAGCACATTGACGGTTATTGTAGCCAAAGGATTAGATGTGACAATAAGACTATGTGCTGTGCAATCGTCCAGATACAAAAGAAAAAAACTCTCAGGGAGGCCCTTTGAATGTCAAAGAATGAGACATTAGCAAACAAAAGACAAAAAGGTTAATCTTTGCTGAAGTGAAGCCATTTCTCTGTTTTAGAGACTTTGACAGAGCTGTTCATGCCTTCATTTCATCTCGCCTCGACTACTGTAATAATCTTTACTCTAGTGTTAGTCTGTCATCAGTTAGCCGTCTACAGCTGGTCCAAAATGCTGCAGCACGGTTACTAACTGGCACACGCAAGTGAGAACACATATCTCCCATACTGGCGTCATTGCACTGGCTGCCAGTTAGTTTTAGAATTAATTTTAAGATATTTTTTAAGGCATTGAATGGTTTAGCACCCTCATACCTTTCTGATCTTTTAAATTGGTACACTCCTGCAAGATCACTGAGGTCTGCGGATCAATTGCTCCTGGCTGTCCTGAGGTCCAGATTAAAGCACAGAGGAGATCGGGGCTTTGCTGTAACTGCTCCTAAACTGTGGAACAAACAGCCCCTTCATATCAGGACCTGCCCAACATTGGACACTTTTGAAACCCGTCTGAAAACCCAGTTTTATTCCTTGGCTTTTAAATCAGAATGAGTTTGTATTACTTTTATCTATCTTATATCGTACTCAAATCTTCTAATTTTATGATTCTTTTTCTTTTCTTTTATCATGTCTCCCTATGTTTTTATGTCTTTTGGTTATCTTAATTGTACAGCACCTTGGTCAACATTTGTCGTTTTAAATGTGCTATATGTGACTTTGACTAAAAATGGGGGAGAAAAGTCATATTAAGCAAAGTCATAAAGCAAGCCCAGCAATCCTGTGTATTTTACCCCACATAGGACTTTGTTTTGTAAAATAAGCATCGTGTTGTAATCAGTAACACTTCAAACTAATGACTGGAATCCTACGTGTATCTTCAAAGTGTTTAAATCCATAAAGAAGAAGGTTTATTTCCTCACATACCTATATACAACCTGTTTTAAAATAGAGGATTCGCCCCCTCCTGGTAGTTAAAAAGAATGCAGCTTCAAGGTTTCTGTGCAAAGGCTTAACCTTTCTGACCTGAAACTTCTGACCATCTTTCATAAAGAGTGTTTGCTTCAAACATGCAAAAAGACAAATTTGCATTAATAAATGAATAAAATTTGATTACAGACTGTTACTATTATGTGCTGAGGAGACTTGTACCACCTTGATTCAAGTGTGACCCAATAACAGTCTAGAACATACATTAAAAGTCCAATTTATCACTGTTTAATCAACATTCTGTGTTCATTTCAATCACTTTGGCTTGCATTTGCTATTGATTTTTGCATCAATGTTTCTTTTGCCTGAAACATTAAGGTAGTGAAATGCAAACTGATGGATGGATGTTTGCTTCGTGTGACCACTTGAGGGCAGCACCACAGCATGTTGGCATCAGGGATGGTGCTGACCTTATTTCAGTTTCAGTGCATTCAGCAGTACAGCGCTGCAATTCTAAACTCTCCACACCATCTAAGCACTTTAATTGTTTTCCAATACTGAGCACACATCTACAGTTGCTGCTTTCAGCTTCATTTTGTGATCTATGTGAAAGGAAACATCCATTAATCTCTTTACGGTTGTTAATGGTTTTTGCTCCTGTGGGTGTAAATCAACAACTGCACTTAATGCTGCCTCTTTTATTTCAGCGTGCCGGTTGTCCTGCCACAAGAAATGTGAAGTGAAGGTAAGACACGATCTTCACCGTCTTCTTTTGTTACTGATGAGACTGATGTCTTCATTGTGCAGTCTAGTCTTTGTCACACCATATTACTGTATAGAAGTACACATATTTTTACTTATTGTACAAGCACATACAATGCACCACACATACAGCAGATAAACTGTGACTGTGGTCATTGCATCGGGAATAGCAGGAATTTAAAAGTTGCTTTTCTACACAGTTTTCCCCCCTCTTGAAGCACTATTGCAAATGTTAAGCGAAGCCCATTTATGGTTTTTTTTCAGGCTGTTTAAATCAATTTTTGCACTGCATGGAAAAATGCACCGTCCGGCAAAAAAGCTTTAACCTGCCTGCCTCAGACTGCAGTGTGACGTCATCCAGAGCAGCGCACTGGCTAATAAACTTCATGCAAGTGCACATCCCCACTTAGATTTCTTTGTAGTTCACACACAGATTCACACACTGAATCTGTGTGTGAATGGGTGGATGACTGAATGTAGTGTAAAGCGCTATACAAATACAGGCCATTTACCATTTACCATTTGTAATGGTGTGGGTTATAGTGCTTATACGGTCGTCTACAGAGGACCAAAACTGCTGAAATCATCAGCACAGGTTGAAAATTAATAATGAAATCCATGAAATACAAAATTACGCAAAAGGCAAAATAAATAAGGGAGTAGATAAATACAAAGACAAGAACAAATATCAATTTTCCATATTTTGTAAATTAATACTAACATTTTTGTTTAGATTATTTTGGTGCATCTGATGGTTCAGTTATTTAAGTATTTCAGATTTTGGCTGTTTGATCCAACACAGAGAATAAAAAGACTCATGATTCTGATTACTTTTGAGTAGCATGTGACATGTCCTTACACAAATATCTTTATCAGTTTAAATATAATTTAAAACAATTTTATATACTTAAAAAAATCTTTTGAAAACATCGTTGCCTCAGTAGTACTTGGCAGCCCTCTGTTTTTTTGTGTGGTTTCGTTTCGTTTTCCCACAATTATTTTTTACTGTAAATGATCGCCCACTCAGATCAACCCCTAATTTCACTTCAATTACACCTCATCATTCAGACACTGCTGATACTTACCAGCTATGCATGAAGCATTATTATTAGTATAGTGGCTTTATCTTTTACCATAATCAGCCATAACTATGCATTGCTAACAAAATAACTTTGAGCATTTGGGGCATGGAGATCGGACCTCTCGGGGTATCCTGTACGAGGACTGTGGCATCATGGTCTTCAGCTCCTTTGGATTAGCAGTGGGGTCCTACTGGGATTGGTTTTTGATAGTGATATTGAACTGGGATCATAATTTCGGTATATTTGTTGTGTTCCTCGAGCTGTCACTGAGTATATTTTGAAGTGTCGTGAGCCATATTGTCTTGCTTGGTGGTACATATCATCGTGACATCCACATGAATGCCAAAACCCAAGGTTTCCCAGCAGAACATTGTCTTATAACAAGATGATCAATTTTATTCACTTCACTTGTCAGTGGTTTTTAATATTGTGGTGGATCAGTGACTTCAAATACATGTGCAAAAAAAAAGAAAGAAAGAAGAACTACTTGGGGGCAAATACGCCATGTAAGGCTTCATTTCTGCCTCTTGACTGACTGTGGGATCACAGTTCCACTCACCACATTTGATCCCAATCAGCGGTAACAAAAAATAAAGAAAAAAGGGGAGAGCAAATGAAAAGGAAGGAGCGGAGGAATGAGTGAATGAGAAGCAAGGGAAAGGGTGGAGGGGAAGAGTGTAAAAAGGCTGTATACTTAGTGGTTTTAGTTGTGACTGGTGGGGAGAAATGTTGAAATGTCTCTCCTCTCCTTTATTTTCCTCTCCAGTTCATAACTCCTCTACCCAAAAAACCTCCCCTCAAGCCATTCGTCTACCCAAATATTACTATAGGAACAAAAGTTATGTGTTCCCAAAACATCCACGGAGAAATCTGCCAAATACCTCTAAAACCGGGCAAAGTCATTTGTGGTGGCAATTTGGGGAATAATCAGGATAGCGTCATGAGTCATTCGTTCTGGTGGTGACAGACAGCCGACAGGAAATGTTTTGAGAAGAGAGTAGGTTTGCGTGTCAGAAGGGAAAGGACCGTAGATGGAGGGAAATTGTAAATCTGGATGAAAATTAGAGTTGCGTTAATGTGCAAATGCCAATATTGATTTACTTGGGAGCAAACATTTGTGTTGGCTTTATCCAGGGAAATGACCCTTGAACAAAAACAAACAGGACACAAATATACCAGCTCATTGTTTCAGGTTGTAAAAGTGCGGTTACGATTTGTGCAAATACGAATGTGAATTTAGGCAACGCTTTGGGCCGCCTCTTCGCTGACCTTGAGCAGTAAATTTGTCATGAAGCACAATGAGGTTTGTTGCCAGCAGTTTGCAGTTCACCAGACATGAAGATAACTGCAGCGCTGCACTGATTTCATTTTGTGTGTTTATTATTTTAATTCGCCACAGCTTCCCCTTTATATGCCAAACACCGCCCAGGGCATTGAATGACAATTGCTTGAATGTTTTAAGGTTTTTTTTTATATGGGTTTATGAAGCATTTCTGTGTTTTTATAGTATTTTAATGGCACCTATACTGATTTTTATGAGGGCGTGATGATGGTAATTGTTTTAACATATGCTATGAGATAATATTTGGATAATCTATCTTGGTGCCTGCTACATAGGACAAGAAGGACAAAAGTGTGCTGATTATATAATGAATTACACATTTACAGTCCTTGTAGCTGACCATTTATAGACAAATGTTTTTTGTTTGTTAAGGCGCTTAACACTGACCTGTGAGTCACTGAAGCATAAAAAGGCTCCTAACCTAAGATATGAACCAGTGGTATGTCAAAAACCTGATATATGGTATGCAAGATATCCTTAAAAATTTTTGAGGACAAGCAGAGGGCCAAAGAAGATGTGTCAGGTTTAAAAATACTATTTGCAACAGATTAACAGTATTCAGAAAACCATGTGCTTAAGAAACAAGGAAAAATCCAGCAAAGACCTGATACAGGACCTGAGAGATTCATGTGGACCTTCAGCTGATCATCTACTGTTCAATAAAGCCTCACCAGAAATGGTCTCAGTGGAAAGGTGGCCATCAGGAAGCAATTCTTAGAGGAGGGAAACTGGGAGAAAAGACTGAGCTATGACAGCTACACAAGAACTGTATTGAAAATGAGGACAAAAGATCTGATGGAGTGATTAATCCAAGTTTTTTTTTTTAAATCTGTTCAAATCATTGTGTGTTTGGAGGAGATCAAGAGAGAAATACAGTGAGTGTCTACAGCCATCTGTAAAACATGGTGGACTCTCTGATACGGTTTGGGCAGCATTTCAGTCAGTGGTGTTGGAGATCTTGTCAAAATTGATGAATTATGAACTCGGAAAAGTACCATTAGATTTTTGATCCACCACGCAATACCATCTGGAAAACATCAGATTAGAAACAGCTTTCTTTTTCAGCACGACAACGATCCCAAACACACTGCCAATGCAGTAAAATCATACCTGAATAGAAAAACACAGTGGAAAACCATCAGTCATGGATCGGCCTCCCCAGAGCCCGGACCTCAACATTATTGAAGCAGTGTGGGATCATGTTGACAGAGAACAGAACAAAAGGCAGAAACATCCAAAGAAGAGCCTGGAGAACTATTCCTGAAGACGACTTAAAGACATGATGAGAAAGCTGCCTAAGAGAGTTCAGACTGTGCTGAAGAATAAAGATGGTCACACCAAATATTGACTTTCAAGCTAATTAACCTCTTAAGCCCACAACTTAAACCCCAAGTCAAAAGGCAGGAGATCAGGTAGGCTTGGGGCTTAAGAGGTTAAAATTTTACAAACTCTGTTTTTGCCTTATATACTTTTTATCACAAAATATAAGGAAATACATAGTACTGAAAATGTTTTGTCATTGGGCTCTTCCATAACGTCCATAAACCATTTTGCAAACACCGCTGTAATCTTGTTGTCAGTGAAACAATTAGCCTAATTCTGCGAAATGTTGAAAGTCAGTAACCACATGCAGTTCAGTCATTAACTTTTAAAGCTTATGAAAATGTCAGTATAAACATGCAAAAGACAGACATCCACTAACATGCCTTGATGAAGGCAGCTAATAGTTTCTGGCTCCTTTTCATGTTCTGTTTTTCTTTCCGTTCTTTCTGTTTGACCACAGTCATCTCGCTGCGGATGTCTGTTATTAGAGCTCTGAGGATGCTCCACAGCACACAGAAGACAAACTCCACAGGCTTCTATCTGCCAGTATTACACCTATGTTGATGAGGAGACTTGTTTGCACAGTGGCTGGCGTTTTGCCTAAAGTCTGTCAGGAAACCTAGGCTGAGTGTTGGAAACAGAGGCTCTCTGTTAGACAGAAGACTCCTGTGTTGATTCCTCATACCTCTCTCTCTCTTTCAACCTGAGCTTCAGATAAACTAAGTTTAACAATTTTAAATAGATATTAATTTGGAGTAGTCTTTGTGACCACCTGATAAATGAGAGTATTAATAATAATAATATTAATAATATTAATAATGTTGACAATAATAATAATAATAATAATAATAATAA